ATTTCGTGACATAAAAAAACATCTTTGACATCACACAAGACAAATGAAATCACACAGATTGTAACTTCCGACGTGCTTATGCCCTCCAATACAACTCACTTCAATGAAAAGGGGTTTTCATTTGAGGTTTATTTACGCGTGTCTTATATGTAGAATATCAAACTTCGGGATGAGACGGAATCACCCTATCCCTGCATCTTATGGGTAACTTGATTTGCTCAGTCCTTGAGAATGTCATCGACGTTAAAATATGGAAGGCATATATTTCTCGCATTACTAAATCATGTAAATCAGTGGCTAACTAGCATGAATATGCATATATTTTGTTTCTGTTAAGACTATAATTAATAGCAGATAAGGACAAAACTTGAGCACATTTTAGTTCTAATTTTAACACAGCACACAAAGTGGTCTGGAAGCTCACATCTCCAAAAGAAAACTCATAAATAGTACAAAGAAGACAAGTGCCGATGGCTACGCCACTGCCAACTGGGATTGTAGACAAATCCATCTAATGAGTCCCGACCGCAATGATGTTCACATCCTGAATTTCACTGCTAGTCAGATTTCAGATTTTCAGATTTATTGGTTGAGGATAGAAGGCTTGCAGCCTATGTTAATCCTTTTCTAGTAGATTTCTGTGGTTGTCCAAACCCTTCTTGAACGAATCAATTGAGGTTGCAGACACCACTTCTTCTGGGAGTCGGTTCCAAGAGTTTATGACTCGATGTGAGAACCAGTACTCAACAGCAATATGATTTCTCCTTGGCTTTTGAACTCTCCTGCTATGTCCTCTAAGGTGTTCCGACCTGGTGGGAAGGAAAAGAGAGAATAGGTCAGGTCCGTAGTCATTATTTAAAATTTTAAACATTGTGATTAAATCTCCTCTCTGCCTACGGTATGACAGTGAGAAGAGATTTAAACTATCTAGTCTTTCCTCATATGATAAGTTAGCTATGCCGTGAACCATACGTGTTGCCTTCCTTTGAACACTTTCTAGAATGTGTGAATCCCCTTTTAGACACGGACTGGCGGCCTGGATGCAGTTTTCCAGTCTTGACCTAACCAGAGATGTGTATAAGGAGGTGAACATATCTCTGGTAATTCTTGTAAAGGCTCTGCGAATCGCCCATAAGGACCTGAAACTACGTGCAGCCACCGCGCGACAGTGTGCTGTAGTTTTTAAGTCGTGGCTAACTATGACACCTAAGTCCAAGTGAGTCTGAACTGATGGAAGTGTTATTCCCTCTAGTTCGTAGGAGCTCGTGCTTGCTTGTCCAATGCGCATGGTTGCACATTTTGCCACGTTGATCGGGAGCATCCATTCAACAGACCACTCCGACAGTTTGTTGAGGTCGTCTTGCAAGGTGGACGTATCACTGTTGCCCTTCAGCTCCCTCCAAATTTTTAAGTCATCTGCGTATAGGACCATAGGGGAGTCGGTGAGCAGAGGTAACTCATTGATATACAGAATAAAAAGGAGAGGACCGAGAACCGTGCCTTGTGGCACTCCGCTACTTACTGCTGTCCAGGAGGAGAGTTTTGAGTTGATCCTAACCCTCTGCCTCCTATCTATGAGGAATTCCCTGAGCCAGTCTAGTAGTCTGCCTTTGATACCAAGACTTTCCAATTTCATGAGTAGTCTTTTGTGAGGTACTTTATCAAAGGCTTTACTGAAGTCTATGAAGACGACGTCAACGGGTCTTCTGTTATCCTTTGATTTGACCCAGCTTTCTCTTGCAGTCAGGAGATTTGACAGGCATGAGAGGTTCCTCCGGAAGCCATGCTGTGCTCCAGATAACAAGCTGCTATTTTCCAGATAAGCCATGATGCTTTTCTTGATAATTCTTTCCAGTGTCTTGATTAAAGTGCTGGTGAGACTGATAGGCCTGTAATTTGAAGGGCTTTGTCTTGATCCTCCTTTGTGTATGGGGGTTACTATGGCGTCTTTCCAATCACGTGGCAACACTCCATTTTGGAGAGATAGCTTGAAGATCGTGGTCAAGGGGCCGGCTATGTGGGCTGATAGCTCCTTGAGAAGCCTTGGATGAAGACTGTCAGGACCCATTGATTTTCCTGCATCTAGTTTCATTAAGAAGTTGAGCACGATGCCTTGGTCGATGTCAACGGAATCTATCCCATGTTCTTCTGATGCAGCCAGAGCTGATCCTATAGGCAGTGATGACTCCTGAGTGAAGACTTGGGAGAAGTAGTTTGCCATTGCTTCTGCTTTTTCTTGATCTTCTTCGATTGTATCTTTGTCAATAATCAGGTTTGGGACACCATTGGGTGTTTTATTCCTGAAATTCAAGTACGAGAAAATTTTCTTAGGTTGTGCCTTTGCATTTTGGGCCAGGTGTGTCTCGAACTTCATCCTTGATTGGCGGATTTCTGCGATAGCTTTATTTCTAGCAGTAGTATATAATTCCCTGGTCTCAGAAGTCTCAAGTGTTGCAAACAGGTTCCAACATTTGCGTTTACGTCTGAGTAACTTACGAATCTCCCGGTTTATCCAAGGGGGGGAATGTTTCCGACCCTTTGGAACAGACCAAGGGATGAAGGGTACAGTTACTTGGGCGTAAAGTTGCTTAAATTGGTTCCATGCGGCTTCTACTTGGGACTCTGGATTGATGTACCAGTTTACTGAGTTGGCTGCTGAGACGATCGCATTTATGTCAGCTTTCCAAACGTTTGGTCGAGCTGGGGTTTTGGCCCTTGCTGCCGTTGCTGTGAACTTGAAAGTGAGCACAGCATGGTCACTTCTTCCTAACGGAGGAAGATGTTGTATGAGATCCACATCCTCACCGTGTGAGAACACTAGGTCCAGAGTTGATGAGGAGTGCTGTGAGTCATAGCGCGTGGGCTTAATGATATGTTGGACTAGGGCTAGCGATATACTAGATTCTAGCAGTTTATGGTCAAAGGAGTTGACTGAAGATGGAGTTGTTAGGCTCGACCAGTCAACTGTTGGGGCGTTGAAGTCACCGACTACGAGACTTCGACATTTTGAAGTCCAGGAGCCTAGCTTCTCTATTAGGAAGTCGTCTGCACTGCAGTCAGGACTGCGGTACACAGCAATGAGGTCAATGTCTTGGCCTATGCATTTAAGTCTGCAGCGTAGAAGTTCGCACGACTCACTTTCGTGGGCGAGTGCTTCGATACTACGCACGGTTAAGCCTTTCTTGAGGTAGATGACTACGCCCCCTCCTTTGCGGTTTAGTCGGTCTACCCTGTGCACTTCGAAGTTTGGCAGGTTAACTTCGTTGTCAGTGACATCGGGTGTGAGCCATGTCTCTGTGATAATAATTACATCCGGGTTTCCGGTTTCTATCATGTTTGCCAGCTCAGTCCTTTTATTTAACAGGCTGCGGGCGTTTGTGTAGCAGACTGTTAATTCAGATTGGTGCTTCCCCGGCCCACCCACAGAGGTTTCGGGATCATTAAACTGCGAACTCGGACAACCCGAAAACCCTTAATCTTAAGGTTCTTCTCACCGTTCCGGCGTCGCTCACTTAATTCTAGTGCCGCAGCCTGTCTTTTGACACGGTCTGCCAGGCTTAAGTCAGCGCGGACATATATCCCTGATCCTTTGAGAATATGAGAGTTGCTTAGAATAGCGTCCCTCTCCGCTTTAGAGTTTAGTACGACTTTGAGGAGACGTACAGGTTCACTTACTGTAGGGTCAGGCTTTTGACCTATTCTGTATACGCTGTGTATAGTAATGCCTGATACTGTTTGTGGCAGTAGCTTGTCTAAAAGGGGCTTGACCAAGTTAAGGTCATGCTCGAATCTGGTCTTAGGGTCGAGAGCCAGTGACTCCTCCACTTTGTGGAGAATGAGAGACCTATCAGAGAGATCGGGTTTGCTTTCCGTTACTTTCTTGCCCTGAGGCGTAAGTGTGTTTCTATCCTTCTTGGGCGGTGTGGCCGAAGTGTTATCCTTATCTCGCTTTTTGCGAGAGACTACGGTGCGCCATTCATTGGCGTCCTCCTCGCTAATCTTAGTGGGGTTCGTCTGTCTGCTGCTCACCGGTGTGGATGAGGCTTGTTCCGCCAGTCCCTGGGCGACTGGAGCTGCAGGTTTTCGACCCCTAGTACGCCTCTTCTTCACGGCAGTCTTTCCATTACTGTCACTGGAGGGCTCATCCAGTATCGTGGGGGCGACCTGGGTGTCTGTAATATGGTGGGTGTTCTTCTGTGCTGTAGAGCACTCACTTATTGGCAAGGTCGCATCTGGGACATGTGCTGTTTTGTCAATGACGCTAGTCACGTCATCGCTATCTGAGCAATAGTCGGTATTCTTCTGTGGTGGAGGACGCTTGCAGTCCATGAGCTTTAAAGCCCCACTAAGAGTAGCTATGGCTTCTGTAATACGGAGTTTAGTTGTACTACAGCAGTCGTTGCATAACCAGTTCGCTAGAGGTTTGCAGCAGCGTTTGTATGCTGCTGGAGTAAGGTTCGTGCACATACTGTGAAACCATCTCTTGCAGTTATCACACTGCATTCCCTCATCCACTGGAAACTGGCACATAGCCCTTCCGCAGCGGTTTCTTTTAATAGGCATTTTATTTAAAACGAACCAGGAAAAGTTAAATACAACTTCAAATATATATATATAACCTTTGTAAATCAGTGATAAAAGCTAATGAGTGCACAAAGATAGATATATGTGGCTATTATGTTATAAGAACACTTATTATAATTAATAGACTCAGATCTGAAACGTAAACTAACTTCGACCAGAATAAACTGATTTAAAGTTAAATCTGTGGACTTTTGAAGCGTATAACACAACAAAATCCAATTATAAACAAGAGCGTGAAAATTAACTCCCTTTTCAAAGTTCGCGCGGCATCAATCAAGACAAGTCTCTCATCTTTAATTTAGGCTGCGATATATGTAAGTTTTCTTCTAAATCGTTATGCAAAGAAGTTGTTTTTACCAATCCCCAATGTAAATAAAGGCCGCGGTGTTTGACATCGGGGACTGCAGCCTTTTAACATGTGTAGTCCGGCTGCCACGCTTCTCCTGAGAAAGCAGCTATGTGGTAAGTAGACTTTTTTACAAAGCACTAACTGTCTTATTACTTTCGAAAGACTAAAGCCCTCTTACTAATCCTTTTTTGCATGTAGAACTAAGTAAAAGTGCAACCGAAGGCTTTTCTGCTGGTCTGGTCGATGATGACAACATATTCAAATGGCAAGTATTAATCATGGGCCCACCTGATACACTTTAGTAAGGTCAAATAACTCTTACATTTTTGTGCAGTGAGGGTGGTTATTTTCGTGCAGAGCTCGACTTCCCGCAAGATTATCCTAATCATCCTCCGAAAATGAAGTTTGTAACAGATATCTGGCACCCAAATATTGCCCGCGATGGTGATGTTTGTATTTCCATTCTTCATGAACCGGGTGAAGATCGGTGGGGTTATGAGAGACCGGAGGAGAGATGGCTTCCAGTCCATACTGTAGAAACTATCATTACCTCAGTTATTTCCATGCTAGCCGAACCTAATCCTGATAGTCCTGCCAATGTTGATGCAGCGGTAAGTTCACACTTGATCTGCTGACTAAAGATGTGTTTTCAGAAAGAGTTTCGAGAAGACTTTGCTGAATTCAAAAGGAAAGTGTGTCGCTGTGTGCGAATGAGCCAAGAACATTTCGAGTAACATAAATCAGACACTATTTTATCATTGTACATCAGCCATTGTGACGAATTGTCTTCACTTTGACTTCTGCAGCAGTTACAAAACTTTTCAGTTTGATGTTATGCTCTTTGAGGTGACAATCTTTCGTGAATGCTCACTGAAACGCACTGGTTTTTCTTATTTTTGATCTGTTCAGATTCGTGATACAATGATCCATAGCTTATGTTAGCATTCGTTGCTGAGATTTCCGTTGCTATTTGGTTGTAACGTGCTCTTTGCTTTTGTAACATGTTTTCGATTAGGCACTTTATTGCAGGGACCGAATTTATTTATCAAATTTCGTCTTAATTTGCTTCCTTTTTTACTTGGTCTTGTTTTTGCAAGTAAGGAAATTATGACACTCACTCCCCAAATGTTTACCTTGGATGCCATGCTTTGTGTCAGTTTCATTAAAATCCTTGTATTGGTTTTAAATCATGCCGATTAAGAAATCACTGGTGTCGTTCCAGTCGTGTATATTTGAAGTCCCCACCGAGAACAGCTCATAAGATAACTGGTCCCGACGTCAGTATTTCACATTTTGTCGGTACTTATCTCTTTTTAGCAGTTATGCGCGACATTTATTGGAAGTTCATGCATTTTCTTTAAATATTACAATCCGATTTCATAAACTTAGTGGGCTCTATGGAATTTATTTACAACTATGCAGCACGAGAAGCTGTTGCGTGTGAGTCGGGATTCGGTTCTCTGGTTGAAACACTTAAATACCAGCCGATGTGCAAACCCCTTTACACCCATTTCAGCCTGAGGAATCGTATATTGTATAATCAGTAGCAATTGCCCAGTAAATTTAGCTCGTAATGTGTTACATATAGAAAATGTCCTGGGTAATTAAGTCATTACAACTAACACACTTGTGATACGCCTTATGCAGTTGTATTCATTATGTTTTGGTTTATACACTATGTAGGTTACTCATCTATTGGCTGAAGGCATTTTAGCTGGTGGCAGTAACTCGTTAATGTTAGGCATGTGGCTGATTCTCTATCCTGACCACCAGCTGGTTAGTATTCCAAGTTCTCAGATTGACTTATAGAATGAAATGTACATACATCAGTAGTGTTTTTGTGTTTGGTTATATATTCAGCTAATAATTACTTTCTAAGACGTGACTAAGTAAACTAGCTACAGTAAATTCCCCTTGGGAATGGTTGCAAAAAAGTTATTTCTGAATTTATTTAAGCAGTAAACTATGAATTAACAGAGTGCTTGTATTATACTCATTAACAGTTAGATTATTAAGTGGTAATATAACACAAGCATCGAGTACCGTAAAAGAGCAACCAATCACCATTATCGTTTATTTGTTTTACCTTACAAGTGAAACAGGACTTTAAGCAAGAGCATTGAAGTTCTGGCTGAGAGCCGAACCCTGGACCACGTGCGACGTTTGCGAGCATTCTATTACTGAGCCACCGGCCAGTCATTGATGAAGGCAATAATTCGCTTCACTAGAAAAATCACCTATAGTAAATGAGGAACTTGCACCAAAATCAGAGGGACGGTTAAAGATGCAATCGATGGATTCATTCACGTGAACTTTCGTCTCGTTGACAATGTTGACATAGTTCACCCTTGTTGTCATCCTTTTTTGTAGTAGACCTTATTCTATAAATGGTCTTGATCCAGTGGAAGAAAGCCATGTATGCATTCCTCTACTGTTTACCATACCACTTAAACACCAGAAATGGAATCAAGGTTAATTTCGTATCATGAGTAATAACCCATGTTGTGGTGGGTCCCAGTGGCTTAATGGTATACTAGCTCGCATTGTAACCGGAAGGTCCTGGGTTCGAATCCCGGTGGGTGCGTACTTTTTGTTGAATCCAGACAGGGAAGAATGTGTGCAAAGGCTCATTGCGTGATACCACAGTGTTTAATGGTAGCAGAAGGACAGATTGATGTTAAAATGATGTTAGCAAATCATGCAGACATCGCTTTGCTTGATGCACTTGCTAGCTGTGGAGTGGATAGTACTTTAAAAAATTTTGTCAGTGGTAGTACGACTTTGTTGTTACATTGTAGTTAGTACTAGATAACCAACTACCGCACCGAATTAGTGTAGACTTGATTTCTAACTAGCACTTTAACCTGCATGCGAAACTCAATCAATTTCGGCAACGGATGCCGGACAAAACTATCATTCTGGGGACTGCACTTTTTTAATACCAGCTATGTTTTACAGTTTCCAAATTAAGTGGAGGTATCGGTCATAAGGTGTTTTCATGTAAAGTAACTACTGTATTATAGAGACTTCATTTATTAGTTAAATTGATCCCAACAGATGGATTTGTTTTGAAGTCTGTTCACAGACATCCTGGTGAAATGTATTAAGCGAGGGATTGCATTTTATGAGTAATGATGTCACTTCTCCAGTCTAACACGATGAAAAAGGGGCTGAAATATGTGTTAAGGTATATTAAGAAATATAGTGCTAAGTGACGATCTGCCTTACTTTTGAATTTGATTTTATTCAATTCACCGGCAGATTTATTCTTCACTCCATTTAGTGGTGTTCTGGCAGTCAGGTGAAAACAACATTGTAGATGTACATAGTTGTTCTGTAGTCGTCGGATGAAATTCTGGTTTCATTGTTATGTGACGCTATTTGCGTGATTTTCGGAAGATAAGTTAGTTATTTGTTAGTGAGTTTCCTATTGTAACGGAGATGCTGTGTGACATAAGTTTCTTGCTAATATAATTTCTTAGCAGGTATATCTGAAAGGCAGTGAGTAGTAAACGTGTGTAGAATGTTATTTAAAACAATCAGCACGACAGTGTTTGACAAAAAACAGCGCCTTTAGCGCACGATGCTTCAAGAAAATAAACATATCTCTATCTTTTTCGGTCTGTAGATAGTCTGATGAGAACCCGAAGTTACTCTTGTTACCCTGTCTCCACCATTCTATTTTTAAACGCTAATGCCACCTGAAGTTCGTCAAACAGAACTGAATACTTCGATCTGAGTTGCAAAGAATGTTTCTACTAGGTGAGCCGTTTGATCCAAGCCAGAATGCGTGATCACAATTAGGTTTCTCTATCCCGTGTGCAGTTTTTGTGTATTATATTATTCAGATAGCTTCGTAGGAAGTATTCTTTAGTCACTGATGTCTCTCACTGTAAAAGAAATTAACAGACTAGGTTTTCGGATATCATTTTGTTCAACAATAGCATGCAGGTCATTAAAATGGGATTAGTGTAGGAATGGAACATGAAATTATATTTTCGTTGTGCAATAATTTACTTGATATGACAACCAGTGATGCAGCGTTACTAAACTTTCGAGTATATTTTAGTACAAATAGTTACTAGAATTTTATTAGAAATATTTTCTTCAGTTAATAAGTTTTACACCACCTTTATTAATAAAGATGCGTGAAAAGACCATTGAAAAACTAATTAGCAGTTGATAGCCTGAAATTAGTGTCGAGTTAGCTTCTAATAAATGATATAATACTTCGCATTTTCTCAGAAGGAAGCATCAATTAATCTAATAAATGAAATACGGGTGTGTGATGACTTGCGATTTCTTTAATAGGAAAAATCAATATATTTTGTGGTAAAACTAGGCAATCTATTCAAGTATTGGTTTGTAGGGATTTGGTTAGATTGGTTACAGGATTTTATCATGAGCTGAAATCGGTTAGAGAACCAGTGGAAAACCAGCAGGGAGTTCTGGACAGCCGTTTCATTCTAGTTTAGGACTCTTCGTCAGCACGCACCCCCCGCCAGGGTTCAAATTCGGGACCTTCTGGTTACAAGGCGAGCTAGCTCGTAGACCATTAAGTCACTGGGACCCGATCCAATGACCCACGAATTCTATTTGCCCTATTCAGGTAGGTAGTTACCTGGGTCCCAGTGGGAAGTCGTGACCAGAAGGGTAAATTAGGTCGGGTGTGAAGACAAATACTTGCCGAAGAAATTGGCTATTGGTCGTGCTATGTGAATCGGTAGAAGTTAAGATTCATGGACTAGCCATTGGGTCGGGTCCCAGTGGCTTAATGGTCTACGAGCTAGCTCGCCTCGTAACTAGAAGGTCCTGAGTTTGAACTCTGGCGGTGGGTGTGTGCTGACGAAGTGTCCTAAACTAGAACAAAACGGCCGTTCAGTACTCCCTGCTGGTCTTCCACTGGTTCTCTAACCAGTGTTGGCTCATGATGAAATTCTGTAACTAAGCATTATCCTTTTTTATTCCATATTTTATTCAAAGGCAATATACCTAGCGTTACCGTTGTCCCATTCAAATGAGAATGCAGAAACTGTTTTGAGGACAGACTGAAATCACTTGGAGAACTGCTGAAAATAGACAAGCAGTGGAAAATAGTTTCTTCATAGTTTGGAACCTCATGAGGATTCAAGCCATACAGATTCATGTTTCAAAGTAAACGAGACTATACCGCGTGTGTTTGCTGGAATTAAAACAAATTTAGACGATCATTCTCTCTCGCAAAATAATTTAATTTCTATGATATCGACTGATCTCCTAAGCGTTTTGTTTTGTTTGCTTGTATTTACTAACTAAAGTGTACTTCTAGTCAACGAACTTGAATTGTACAATTTTATTATATTGAATTAGTAAACAAAGTTCCACCAGTGATGTATGTTATGCTAAAAGGACACTTCGCACGGTGGGTCTCCTACAGTACAGAAATTGTCTGTCTTCATTGATAACTCATATATGACCAGCAATCTCAGTTTAAGAACCTTGAAGCTGAGTAAAACCTGTATTTATTTATGTGGATAAACAACTCCAACAAAATGTTGCAATATTTTGCTTTGTTGCTTGATAATAGTAAATTTACTACTGCTGTTATGAAATATGAACTAATAACGAAATTTACTCATTATTATAATTAAATATCCCCATACTATACTCCGAACAAGAAATTTCCCTAAGGTGATTGTCCTCAACAACTTCTTAAGGCTCCACAGTTATCAATCCATGAAGCTATAGGGATTAACAAGAATACACCCATTTTATGATTGCCAAAAATGTACATATATCCTTCTCACTTAGTTTACTT